CAGTTTCTCTCAGAGCCGAACCGTTATGCAGATTTTTCCATTTGTTTTAACTTTTAAGAGGGAATGGAACAATTCTGCTATGGTAATAAACAGTAACTATACCCTTCTTATGTGGCACTCTCTGTCCCATAGGATCCCCAAAGTGCTTTGTCAGCTGATGGAGTTGCAAGCAGAAATCCCTTTTTCTGCAGAAATCCAGCCTGCTTAGGGATTGGGGGTAGACCAAAAAGACACATGGCAGGCAGTATACATAGAGCATCGTGCTTTCTGGGCTGAGAAAGGGCAAGTTGGTGCATGACGTCAGCACTGATAGTCAAGGGCCTCATACACTCAGACACGTCAGATCTCGTGCAAAACCCATCCCATGACTGCCCCTTTCAGCCCCACCAGACCCCTCCCCAGCACAGTGCCAGCATCTCAGTCCTGTGCATCTCAGACCTAGAAACCAGCTTGGAATGAGATCCTGAAGCAAGAGAGAGGCAATGGCTGGAGAGCAGCTGCTGAGCACGCCACTGGGATGGCATTCCTGAGCAATGGGCTGATGCCCCTGGATCCGTCCTGGCCCTGTCTTGTATGGCCAGGTGCCGTATTTGGGGGGGAAGGGGCTACATGAGTTTGTGCCATGTCTCCCAGTCTATCATCTGACTTGATATCGGAGCCTTCCACTTCAGATTTCTCAACCAGGCAGCATGCTTTTTAACACCACAAAACCAAACTGTACAGTGAGGACACCTAAATCATGTATGTGTGTCCTCAGCCTCAGATACTCGTGACATAAAATTAGTCAGTGATTATTTTTCAAGGCAAGTTTTCCACTTCATCTTCCAACTGGCTGCTCTCCTAAGCCTGTGATACTGTCCAAGAAGTCCAGTACAGGATGACCTTCCAATATAGGTCACAGAAAAGAGAGCTTGTAGGAAACTTCAGCAGCTCATCCTTCTTAGCACTGCCTCTTGCGGTAATCTGCTGGCAGCAGAGCTGGCAACGCTGCGGAGCTGGTCCCTGCTGCCCTTTGGCTGCAGGCTGGTTTTTCTGTGTGTACTTATCACCCTGACCTGCCTGCCTCTGTGGGAGGTGACAAAAGCATGAGTAAGCAATCGGCTTATTAGGTCATTTTTGAATATAGCTAAGACTCATGTGATTTCTGCTACTCATCGTTCTGTGTACTGGTCATACGTATCTGAATGTGGTTCATTTTTTCAGGTCCACTCACCATCTAATAAGAATATTACTAGCCCAGCTGCATTTGTAAAGCTTGGGGTGCAATGAAACTAGTAGATCTTCAGATCTGGCACTATTTACCAGGCTTCAGGCTGCAGCTTTGGGCTGAACCACATACCTCTGGACTTTCAGGAAATTTGGCTTTGCTTTCAACATCGCGGATCCCTCCCTAGAAGTGAGGAGGCTGACCAAAGTGTGTTTGTGGTACAGAAAGATACCCATCCTTGCTAGCACAGGGACTAGAACAACTGCAGAAGTGTTTCCCTACCCTAGGAAACCACTTGATATTAAAATTAAAAAAAAAATAAGAAAGTTCCTCGAAACAGGGAAAGACAGGTTGTTTCCATGGAGCCGCGGTACTAACTTTGGATGGGGCAGGTGGAAGTCAAATCTTGGTCATATCTGAATTAGACAGGGGTCCTCCATCCCAAGGGTGCTGCTGAGATATCTGCCTCTCACAGTGCTGTTCCACTTTATGTGATAACAAGCGTCTTTCTGGCTCTCTGGGACCACAGTTCAGAGCTCAGGTCACTCACCCAAGGTGCCAGAGGGGAGGTTCAAACCCCTCTCTGAATGCAGCAGAAGAGGAACTCGACCCTGGGTCTCTCCCATCCCAGGTAAACGCTTTATCATAATATCACTGGCTATTCTGCTGCCTCACTCACACTGAAGTCTGACTGGAGATTCCTGGGCTTCAGGGAATCTTCCCAAAACGAGTTTCATCCAATTTCTGGATCTCATGAATCAGCTTTTTTCCTACAGTTCTCAAGTGTGAGTTCGTTCAGATACAGTCATGCTGAAGGCAGGAGCCCAATTCACTGCACGTTGCAGCTGGAATGGAGACCACTGGGATGTCCCTCACCTGGTGTGCAGCTCTGGGGGTGGGAAGGAGTGGTTTTACTCTACATGAATTTCCAGGTTTATGAAATTTCCTCACCACCACCGAGCCTTCTGCTATGCGTTGTTGTTAACATTACCACATTCCTAACTGAAGTGAAACTGATTCCAGTGGATCTAAACCAACATGTCTAAATGCATGCAGTTATTTATTTCAGTCTTGCTCCTCCATCAAACTATCTATTTCATAGGCTCAGCACAGTGGCATTAGTTATCCTGGTCTCTTCCCCCCAAAATTTTTTCTGGGTTCGGTAGGTTACTCCGCAGGTTTGGATTTGGCAGGATAACAACCAAAGAAGCATCTTCAAAGGATCAAACAGATTCAGAGCGATTTTACTTACATCAAAAGCTTGGCAGCATGTCAAGAGGCGTTGAGAAGGCCAGTCAGTCCTTGTGTGTAGGCAGGAGGAGCGCACATGGGCTGACACACTGTAACATGAGGCAGGAGGCAAGGGGGGATGTACTGCTCTTTGTACATCAAGCTGAGTAGGATTAAGAAAGAATTGACAGAACATCGTCACTTAAACGTCTGAACTGCTTTTAAGATACTCAACAGTTAACAATGGGTAGGAATCCTACATCTCCAACCACAATTTTTCTTTCTTCTCTGTTACTCAATACATTTTTCTAATTGTGCTATGGGATTTACTAAGCTCTCTGTCAGAAAGCATCCAAGATTTCATTCGTAGCACTACTGATATTTATATGAAAAACTGTACACTTGCCAGAAGATAATCGATGCAGTATTTTGACTGAAAGGAGTCAATCTGTCGTATGCAAACCATCATATAAAGGGTACATTTGTGTCCCCTGCGTTTGGTTTGCAAAGGCTGTAAAAATACATTTGCAAAACGCAGCACATGGGTTTGTTGCCTCCTCTGTACCGGAGGCTGCGGGCCAGCCTCGGCGGAGCCCCGACGGTACGTTTGTGCTCACGGCACCACACGAGAGCTGAGGTTTCCTGAGTGTGACTGCATTTCACACTGCTTCCCTGTGGTTTGGGCTGGGAGCTGGCTTGAGCCCCCGGGAAAGCCTCCGGGTTTCCAGCAATGGACGGAAGGTGAGAGAGGGTTGGGAAGGAGCAGTTAGCAGGAGGGAGCTGCCAAAGTAAGAGCACAGCGTGCCACTGCCCTGAAAGTTGTCTTTTCCCCTCGAAGTGACAGCTGCACATCCCTCCGGGGGAAACTGTGCGGAGGAACCACAAGGAGAAGGGAAAAATCTGTCAGGGGCGATGGGTGGACAAACGCATGCGGCATTGCAGCGTCTCTGCTTAAGGGACAGTGGCAAACGAGATGGGAGCATGTGTCAGCAGAAAATGCCCCATGCGGAAGAGACGGGATGATCTGTGATTGTGGTTTGATTTGACTGTGCTGCCATTCAGCGAGACCTGGACAGGCTGGAGAGTTGTGCACAGAGGAACCTGATGAACCAAAATAGCGGAAACTGGGGTGAGGGTGGGGTTAAACACATGCTCTGCTCGCAGAAAGGCTGCACACAAGTTTACCCACCAAGCCCTGTTTAAGCACAGCCTAACTTCTGAAACAACAATAAAGAGCAGCTCTACTATTTGTACGTTTGAGGGGGGGGGGGAATGCTTATGTATAAGCTGACATAAGTTTTTCGTCTCTACCGTAGAGATTATAGCAATAAATTTCCTCTCTTTTGCCGATGAGACCTTTTAGGGGTTTTAGGAACTGGACATTTGGAGAGGTTCATTCCTTAGGTCAGGTGTTTCCACTTGATTTTTTTTTTCTTCACACACTTCAGTGCACTTTAGCTAGGAGCTGAGTAGCTCTTGATCAGGATCTTGATCTCAAATCCAGCTGCTGTATGGGGCTGCTCCAACTGTAGAGCACAGAAGTAGCCTTGGAAGAGCCACTCTTTGCTGCACCGTCAACCACAGGTGCCCAAAGTCCCTCAGGTGGACCTCCCTCCTGGTGTGATGCATTCCTACAAGAGGATGCTCTGAGCTGAGCACTTGTGCAGCAGAGGTTGGGCTGCTACTGGAGAAGGAAAGAGCTTCACATCCAGGCACTTCAGAGGTTTGAGGCCACCAGCACCACCTGGGCTGCAGGAGGAGGCACAGGGCACTCCCCGGCACCCTCGTGGAGACCTTGTAGGTGGCCATATCACAGTGGCAGTTTGAGGTGGGATCGGCTGGAGGGGTGGGGTTTCTCCGTGCAGTGATTTCTATTTCTCCTAGCACTACAGGGCATAGAGTTAAGACCTTGATGCTGCTTTGTGGTAGTGGTATATACAACTAGAGTGGTAAGGGACAAAGTGGTGTGTTGTCAATACAGGTGGATGGGTGGTCTTGATTAAAAAAAAACCCAAACACAAGCAGTTTTTCTGTTCAACATTACTTTCTCCAGCCGTAATTTTGCATTCAGTATCCCCTGAAGGCTCATTTGACCCCAGACCTGCTTTCTTTCCTCATTTTGTATAGAAGCTGAAAGGCAAATGAGTGGCCCTAATTCCACTTCTTGTTCTCTGTGTGACTGATCACATAAGTCTTCCCCCACCTCCTAGGTTTAATTAGCTGTAATTTTGATTTTACCATTGTTTGCATAGAAGGTACAACAGATCAGCTCCTCCTAGAGAACAGCAACCTGTAAACATAAACAAAGAGCCTTTTGTCAGCTGTTAATGGAAACATTGATTAATCTCCCATTGCTTTGGTAGCCTGCCGAAAAGCTCATAAAGCAGCAAACTAAATTGTTCATTAAATTGGCCAGGCTGTAAGTGCCAGGATGTGGCTGCCAAATGTATGTTGAGCATGTTTCAGCTGCGTGGTGCCTCCAGGAGGAAATGCAAACTCTTGTTATCGTACTGCTGCACTGCAGGAGACCTTCTTAACATCTTGCCTTTCCTTTGCTTTGCAGACGATGCCAGCTCAGGAAAGGATAGCCAGGTACCTGAAGGCTCCAATGGAGAATATGAAGATCATTCTGGGAAGCAATGGGGTAAGGAATGGTCCCGGTTTTCTTCGGTTCTTTGTTTAGTGCTGCTCACGCGGCACATTTCTCAGTTGCTGAAGGCAAGAAAAGGCAGAGCGACTGGAGTGAGTTCTCCCTACAGATGGTCAAATAATAAATGGAGTGTCAGCTGAAAGTGTCGGTGTGAATGGACCCCATCCAAGGGTTCTTCTGTGAAATGCAGCCCATGGTCTGCTCTAGGCCCCCTGCCATACAGCCCAGCATGGTTCTCTCCTGCATTTGTTTTTCTGGGCAGTGACTTTCTTTTGCATGTGCAGCTACTATAGCTTTCATAGACTCTCTGTAAAAGGCATGTTGACTTTTACAGCAATATTTCCAAAAGCCTTCAGTGCCAACATAATACTGCTCCCACTGAGGGCAAATGGGAGGTCTGACTTCACTTCAGGAGAATTAGCATTAGGCCAAAGCTGAGTATTTTTTAAAATTGCCCTCTCTTTCAAACACCTGCATGAACTTCTCTAAGACCTTGACTGTTAAAGCATAGACTTTTGATGCTGTTGCAGAGCTTTGAGGAACTGCTGAAACCTCTCTTGGAACAAGTTCTGAATCACCACAAGACTTGCAGGTCCAAAGTTTCGTCCAAGCACTCCTTGAAGGACAATAAGTTGTCAGGCTGATGCCAAACAGCTTTTGGCCATTACTGACAGAAGTGAGATGTGAGTTTACAGCCTCAAGGGATGAAGCACAGCATTTCCATTTTGCTCTTGCTGTGCATCCCTCCTTTTAATTTTATAATACAGAGATGGCTTTGTACCACATTCATGGCTAGGGAGCAACTTCATAGCAATGGTAGGGGTGGAACCTGTCAAGCTTTCACTGTATGAGTCCCCGCCACATAAGCTGAGGCCGGTTTTCTTCAGAAGCTGGCAAACAAGGGATCTGGTATGCTGCAGTGTAGTCCTGGCCACACCTGGAGGAGGCAGTGCCATAATAGCTTTGGATTACAGATTCGTCTGAGACTGAGCTCGTTCTGGGAGAGGAAGGTAACCTCCACTCATTCTGGAAAGGGATGACAACATTTTAGAACTAGAGAAAGGGTGACTTGGATAAACTCCAGGTCAGGAGTCTTTCAAGTGGGATTCAGCAGCTAAGCAAGAAAAGCTACCATCTCTCTACTCTTCATTACCCTTACGGAGACAGAATCAGACATTGAATGCCATGACAGATGTGCTCCTGGTAGAGCTGGTGGATGAGGTATCAATACAACAATAATATTCTGAAAAAAGATGTAAGCACTACTAAAATTATTAGGTATTGATAATCTTCATATCAGATTGTGTCTTAATCTGTGCTGCCCTGGCCTAGTCCTTCTTTGTGCTCCAGAGTGTTTCTGCATCTCTGCTTTTTCCCTGTTCTGTCCCTCCTATCTCCTCTCCCCAGGCAGGGAAATGGCTGGGGCAGGCCACACACACACTTGAGCCTTCTCCATCCATCAGTGATCACAAGCAAAGTGCTGGTGCGAGCTGGTGTGCAGGAAGGGTCAGTGCGTGTCTGCAGGTTGCTGGAGGATAAAGGGTGAAGCAGCAGTTTGTGTCTGCACAGTCCTTGGCCCTAGAGAAGTGGGAGAGGAGAAGCATGTTTAAAAAAGCTCCACTTTGCTTTCCAGCTACCATCATAGAGTGATATCGCTGGGGAGGGGTCTTGCCCCCATCAAAAGCAGGGGGAGCTGATGTGGGGAAAGGTAGATACCCTCATCCATGTCTTCCCACAACTGACTGAGATCTCGTCCTAAAGACTTGAAAGTATTTTGATATTTAGTCGTATCATGACACTTTTTTGTAGAAGTATCATGAAAGCTTGAAGTGGTACTGAGCGTCATTACATGGAGGTGATAGTGTCGGATTGCAGCAGACTACACGTTTTAAGCTAACTATCTCACTTTGTATGAACAATGTCTGATAGGAGCCTCTAGGACTAATTCTTGCACCTTGAGGTGTCCCACAGGGAGAGGAGACTGCTGAAATCCTTCCCAGGTCTTTGTGCCAACAGCCTTCTGTTTCATTTAATTTTCATTAGCTTGAATAAATCTTCACGGTGAACAGCATTTCAGTAAGGAACCCATACACAACACTGTCTCTTTGTCCCCATCCACTTGTGTTTTCCCTTGGTCTTGTGTGTGGCATAATTTATACTGTACAAATGGGCAGTTCATGTTTATGAAGCAAATGCCAAGTGATGTGGAGGAGAACAAGCATGTGAAGTATAAATAACACAGAGGCACTTTGTAATGGCCTTCGCTGGCACTCCAACAAGCAAAACTTCTGTAAATGGTACAGATTTGGGGACAGACATTTACTAGCACCAACTTAAAAGAGACTTTTTCTGCCTCTGTCTCACACTGCTGCTTCTCCCTCTTTCTCCTTTGTGCTTGCTGGGTCTCTTTTTCTCTCTCATGTGTGTGTGTCTCTCTCTTTCTCCTTTTTTGTTAACTGGCTTTTCTAAACGTGTCCAGTTCAGGCTTTTGTCAAGGAAACATTCATGACTCTGTAAATGGGATCTGATTTCAGCATATTGCACACAAGCTGGTGTAGCTTTTGAGACCACATAATCGCTTAACCTTCTTTGAATAGAAGAAGAAAGAAAGGCAGAAAGAGCCAAACAAGTTTAGCTTTACCTGTAGTTTGGTATGTATCTGGGCAACAATGAAAGAGGAGGGAATGCAAAACTCCAGACAGATTCATGGGAGTCACAGTGGAAGGAAAACCCGAAGTGTTACAGCCCTGCTTTTTTGGGAGGAAAGAGATTTTCTGTCTTGCAACATCCTTACTGAGCAGGGACACCAAGTCCTTCTGAAATATTGCTGTGGAAGCAGGGAAGAGGTAAGGGAAGGTGAGAGCTCAGCCTCACTCACCTGACTCTTCATTGTGCGTGGGCAGTGTGCCTGTCCTGTCTCCAGCCTGCTCTTTAACATGTTAATCCCAGCCTAGAAATCCCATCCAGCAAGGATCTACTTCTGCCTGGACCTGCAGTTCCTGGCCTCGGAGTAAATTACTGCCATATTAGAGGATAACCATTCTGACCCATTTCATGGCTGGTTCTTAACCTCTCCGTGCACCCTGCAGACATTCACTGGGTTTCCACAACGACAGCCCTTATCAACACGTCTCCCGCGGCTCAGACTTAAACTTCGGCATGTCATTGCTCACAACGTGCAGCTGTGATGGGGTTAATTGCGTCTCAGGGAGGGTGATTGTTTTTGCTGGGAGGGGCCTCCTCTTGCAGCAGACCCCCAAGGGAATACCCAGCAATTTGTGCACCACAACCTGTGGAGTAGGTTAGTGTGTCACACTTGCTGCTCAGCTGTCACTGCAAGGACTTTCAGTGCCAGCGTTGCTCCAGTTCATTAGATTACACATGAAAGCCTCTGTACGGAGAGTAAAGCATTTCTGAGCAAGAGTCTGAAATAACATGAAACGGCTGGGACCCAACATGACAGCCAAGGGGGCAAGGGAAGGCTGCTGAGGCAGATGGTTTCCCCTACAGAAGAGGATTCTGAAGAGAGGGGTATGCCTAATGGTGTCTTCTACTGAGAGGGAGGGATGTTGGGCAAGGCTGCAGCAGGGTGAGGACTAAGGGATAAGTTCATAGATTTCGGAGGGCAATAGATGCAGTTCCCCAGCACTTGGAGAGAGGAAGCTGGAGACCAGCCTCCTCCAACCAGAAAAACTCTACTATAATGCACATCCCAGAGCTTCTGGCCCTCAGCCCTGGACAGCGGGACTGGCTCTGTAGCAGGGAGTCCCACTCTGCTGCCCTGCAGCAAACTTCCCTGACACCTGAAGCACAACCTACTCAGCTTTCCTTGGTGTGTTATGTGCTACTGGGGTTGTGGCTCTTGAGTTGCTGGTGGTGAAGGACAGTGGCTGATTGGCATAATTCAACCCAGTGTGCCACAGAGCAGGCCACTCATTACCTTTTTCTCTTATTTTCCAAGAAAAGGATCAGGGAGAATTTACCAGGGAGTGTGAACATGCAGTGTGACTGTGCTTTATGGCTGAAGAGTAAGATTACTGTAAGCAAGAAACGGGGTTCAAAAGCAGCGAAAGAAATGCGTCGTGGAGACGTTGAATGGACTCAGAGGAGAAACTGGCTTTGCCCAAACAAAAATGAAGACAGATGAACTTGACAGGAGTATTTTGGGTGTAGGAGGAGAGTGCCAAGCGGGAGTCAGAAGTAGTGCTAATCTCAGCAGGAGATTGCAGCTAGAATTGCCCCTGGACTGGCATTGCATAATTACATTAACTGTGAGAAGTTTGTAGTTTCTTGTTATTTCTTCATTATAGGGTACTAGTAGACAAGCTTTTGCCTTGCAACAGATCATATTCTGTTGTTTCAACTGTCTTAAAAGTTTTTGCGAGGTTCTTTTTCTTTCTATTGATAGTTAGACCAACTCCTGACTTTACAGAAAGATTCTGCAGTGTCAGTGAAGCTAATAGGATGTAAAGGTGCCCCCTCTTTTCTGCCTGGAATTCTGATATCATCTGAATTAAAATGAAGTGCAGTTGAGGGTGTAAGTTTCAGATTTTGCCAGGTGAGTGGCTTGCATTTCTCTGGTGTTCTTGTCACTGCAGTTTTAGAAATATTCGTGATTTCCTTGCTAAGGCAAGGAAATATTATCTTCACCCACGATTCTGTCTACCAGCAGCTATTGCTTCAGCTTCTCCGTTTTTGGAATGGACTGCCATGGGGTATCACCTAATAATAAAAACTAAAGGGTTTTTTATTGGGTCTTTCCATTTGTTTGTTTGCTTCTTTGGGCCTTTCAATGTGAGTGCTTCATAAATTACTGTTGAATGAATTGCATACATTTCAGATCAATGTACATAAGTCTGGCATACTTCTAAGACTTTGCTACGCATTGAAAAGATGTTGACTCTTCTTAAGCCACATTAAAGGCAGTGAGAAGTAAGAGGCAAAACATCTTCAGAAAATGAAATTTCAAGTGACCAGCAAAAGATTGAGAAAATGGTCAGCCTGACAGGAATCTGGGGTTTTTCCTTAGGTCTTGGCTAAGGGCTTGTATTTGTGGCATGGAATACGGTAACAATTACAATGTGATTATGGGGCTGCATTTTGCCTTCAGCTACAATAGCGTGATTTTGGTATTATTTTATGAGTTGATTTGATGCAGTTGCCTTACAGACTCTGAGAAATTCCAGGGTGGTGCTATGCTGAAGGCTAATGTGGCAGCTGTAGCAGTCCAGCAGACATTCAGATGCATCAGGCTGGATAGTGCCTGCTTTCTAGAGGAAACCAGTTTGAGCTGATATAAGAGACAGTGATAGACTGGTACATATGGGGCTGCCAGGTGCCTCTCAAACAAAATTGCCCATAATGCTTGACAGCAGCATCTTCCTTTGCGTGCCCTTTTCTCACCACAGTCAATTTTTCATGCCTTTTACAGCCCGGCCCAGGTTCACGCAGCCTGCCAAGATGAGACGGAGAGTGATCGCCCGTCCTGTCGGCAGCTCCATCCGCCTGAAGTGCGTGGCCAGTGGGAACCCACGGCCTGACATCACGTGGCTGAAGGACAATAAACCTCTCACAGCCCAAGAGATTGGGGAGAACAAGAAGAAGAAGTGGACACTGAACCTGAAGAATCTGAAGCCAGAGGATAGTGGGAAATACACCTGCCGAGTGTTTAACAAAGTTGGAGAAATCAATGCAACATACAAAGTTGAAGTAATCCGTAAGTGCAGCCTCTGAGGTGGAAAGGCAGGGAGGGAGCTTGGAGAAGGGGGCTGGCAAAGTAAAGAGAGCGTGATGGCAAGCATGCAGTGCTGACAGCTGGACACAGAAATGGGGAAGTGTTAAAAACATTAGCAGAGACAGAGAAAGCGTTACAGAATAAACCTAACACCCGGGCAAGACAGAGTAGCAACAATACAATTTAGAAGCTGAAATGAGGAGAGATACTTGGGAAACAGCCATCTTTAAGGGCACCTGTATAGTGAAAGTTCACCATTGGCCAGCAGTCTTACAATACCAACAGAGTCAAATCAAGGACAGAGCAAGAACTAACTGAGAAAGCTCTTTCATGTACCATAGAGAAGGAGTAGAAATATTTAAGATGGCCCAGATGACTTTATCAGAGCGGTAATAGGGTGAAACTAATCAATTGAAAATTTAGTCTAGATACCTGTAATAGGAGGCCCACTTCATTAGAGAATTCTCCCAGGGGAATGAGCAGAAATCTTATGACTAGAGTGATTAGCCTGACAAGGCTTTAGGGCCAGATTTTTAAAAATATTTGGCCATCTGAAGGTTCAGGTGGGTACAAATGAGATACTAAAAATAAAACCCAACATACTCCCACTAGAGTCCTGTCTGTATCTTTAGATGCCTACGTGGCTTTAAAGATTCAGCCCTTAGAAGATGACCTGTGGGGAATTACCCTGCATTGTGGTGGGGTAAATTCCTCTCCTTACTATCTAGCTATTCCAATTCTTGGTCTTTAATCTCCTGTTTCCCCTATTATTACTGACGATAATTATACTCAAATCATACCTAAGTCTACCAGAGAAGAGTTCTTATTCTTAAATCATTGTGCTTTGCCTATGATATCATCATAAGTTGTCCTGGAAACTATTACAGAGCAGCCAATGCAAGAAAGTGAAGAAGATGAGTTGAGTGGCAGGAAGATTGAATATCCTTCATTAATGAGGAGCAGGGGCACAGAGGGCTATTTCCAGCCACATGGGAAGCATGTTGTTTGTCTGTCTTTGCATACATTTTAGCATGAGAAAGTTTATCCCAGTGTGAAAGATTGTTCTTAAAGGTAAAGATCTGTTCTCTGATAAATCCTTTCTCTAGAATCAGAGGAATTAAAAGCACATGTGAGGAGCTCTGTTGGGCTCCAAAGGCACAAACCTGCTGGACATCTGGGATTGATAAAGATGCAGCTGTGTAGAGACAGTAAAAACATGTGTTTACACTAAACCCAGGAGCAGAGACAGGGAAATGAATCAAGCCCCATCCTAATGGCAGCTGTGGCATTTTCACTTCATCAAAACCAGACAGCACCAGGAACAAACCTCTTTCTGTGTCCCTGTTTATCTTGGTTTTTATCAACTTAAAGATGTATGTAACCTTTGTTTTCATTAGCTTTTGCTGGCTAGGAGTGAAAACAGTAACCAAAGCTGGAACCAGAGTCAAGGAGATAAGGGCATTAAGCAGTTTTCAGACATCTTTCTATTTTTAACATCATTCTGTGGAGCATTACAGGTTTTATTCAATTTCCTCCCCTTTTTTCCCCCCTGAGCCTCCACTCCTAAGTCCTGCTTATCTGACTCTCAGTCAGTCTGCCCAGCTGTGATTCCTGCATCTTTAGAGCCCTCATTATTGAAAGTATCCTGAGTTTTTGAAAGAGGGTCCATTGTTCCTTCTTCTCACCCTGGAGCCAGTGCTGGTGGGAGCTGTTTTATTGCATGCTCAATCCAACAGTGTTTGCTGTCAAAAGCAGTTGATGATTGCCAGCAGTTACCACCCAGTGTGATACCATAATTTCTCTCTGTGCCTAGGATAGAGGTTTGCAGTTCCTCCTTGTCTGGAAACTGTGACTGATTTCTCTGATGCTAGCACTGAAAAAATTCAAACGTTCCTCAGAATGAGGAATATATTTTTCCTTTGACTTTATGTGGTGTTGACACAACGTAAGACTTACGATCATGCTGGAAAGGATGGTCTTGTGAACTTCTTGTGTTTGATTTCCTTTCCTACCATCTTGTTTCCTTCATCAGCTGAGACTTGAGGCAAAAAAATTTGCAAGAAAGGAAACATTTTGTTATTAACTAGAAAATCAAAAGCCTTCTGAGTTCTTCCTCCACAAAAATTTGCTCCATAGTTGGTATGCAGATGATTAGACTGAAGAAAGAAATAATAAAAGCAGGGAGGTGATGATGAAGTGAAGATCTGCCTCACTGGTAGTGCATACGGTCTCAGCTCCCCCAGCAGTGGGTGACATGGCATGGAATGGCTTCTAGTAGAGTTTGGTCCCCATGGGAAGCTGTCAGCCCCAGCAAAAGGGATGACAGATATCTCCTGAAGGACTCCCAGACAAAGGCTGAGACAGCATCCACAGCCTTACATTAGTCCATGAAAGAAGGGGCTTTCTTGCATCCAATTTTGTCTGTCCTAAGGAAACATTTGGGAAGACCAAAAGGGGAAGGAACATGTCTTACCCTGCCGCTCATTGTCCCCAGACTGGGGTAGCCATAGTGGTTCTGGTGTGGGCTCTCAATACATATGTACTTGTAAATAATCTAGTAAAAAACTTAGGTTGTATCTGAGTATACATAAGGTTCTGTCATAATCACTTGTAAATTACACCCTACCAGACATGGTAGTAAGAGACACAGCATCACAGAATGATAGAATGGCTGAGGTTGGAAGGGACCTCCAGAGGTCATCTGGTCCAACTCCCCTTGCTCAAGCAGGGTCACCTAGACCCAGTTGCCCAGAAACATGTCCAGATGGCTTTTGAATATCACCAAGAATGGAGATGCCACCATCTCTCTGGGCAACCTGTGCCAGTGCTTGGTCACCCTCACAGTAAAAAAGTGTTTGCTGATGTTTAGAAAGATCCTCCTGTGCTTCAGTTTGTGCCCGTTGCCTCTGATCCTGTCTCTGGGCACCACTGGAAAAAGCCTGGCTTCATCTTCTTTACACACTCCTTTCAGATATTTATAAACATTGATAAAACATCATCAGGGTCAATATCAGGTGAACATTTACAGGGAAATAATCCACTTCATTTGTGTTCAGATCTGTACTATTGCCCAAATTTAAACCTGAAATGGCTAGTATCAGGCCATTTATCTTCCTCTGGTCAAGACTCAAGAAAGATCACTGCAGCCTCTGACCCTGTCGGTCAAGGTACATCATTAAGATCCCATTATTCTGGGATACGGTCACTGAGACATGAGGATAAGCAGGAGTGCAAGGAAGGATGACCCCTTTTGTCATCTCATAGTTGCAGCATACATCAAGGGAATGGGGAAATTCAGCAGTCTGGACTGGACTTACAATACTGACAAGGAGGAGAAGGGCCAGGTCTGGCTTGTGTGGTGCTGAGTAATGCCACCGCAAACTGGATACCCAAATATAAATGCTTCATGAGTGACCTGAGAGAGCAGAAACACAGCAAAGACAGAAGAACCTTCTATAAGAGATTCTTAAGACCCTGTTTGCTTAGCAGTTAGGAGGGTTGTTCAGTGTGCAGTAGAGAGGACCAAAGAAAATCTTCCGAAATATAAGGGCTAAGAGGGAGAGAAAGCTTTTCTCCAGGACTGATGCAGATAGAGTAAGTAAGTAACTCCCTTGATAGAAACAGGAAGATTCAGATTCAGCATGAGAAAAGACTTACTAAGCATCAGACAATAGTGGAGTTGTCTGGAGAGACTGGAGATCATCTACCATTAGAGGCTTTGGCAGAGGCTGGGCAAATTTATATCAGGAGAGGTTTGCAGAAATCTCAGTCTGCCTTGGGGCAGGGGGTTGGACCAGACAATTCTTTTGCATCCCTCCTATGCCATTTCTAAATTTCTGCAATCACAAGTTAATGAGATTGGCAAACACCTTTTTCCATGGAGCTCCATGTGTTTTTGTGCAGAGAGGACGAGGTCCAAGCCCATCCTGACAGGGACGCACCCCGTCAACACGACAGTAGACTACGGTGGGACCACATCCTTCCAGTGCAAAGTCCGCAGCGATGTCAAACCTGTCATCCAGTGGCTGAAAAGGGTGGAGTATGGCACAGAGAGCAAGTACAACTCAACCATCGACGTTGGGGGACAGAAGTTTGTTGTGCTGCCCACGGGGGAGGTCTGGTCTCGTCCCGATGGTTCCTACCTGAACAAACTGATGATTACTCGAGCCAAGGAAGAGGATGCAGGGATGTACATTTGCCTAGGGGCAAACACCATGGGCTACAGCTTTCGCAGTGCTTTTCTCACAGTCCTGCCAGGTGAGTTATGCCTTTTTCCCCCCCATCTGAACCAATAGTCCACATCGTGGTATTTATTAATACAACTACTGATGCCCACTGGGGTTCATGGCTCTCTGTGATGCTGTGCTGATTTAGGCTAGCCCAGTTCTGATAAGAATGAGCGAGGGACTAAATCAACCCTGGTTTAAATCTGCACCTGCTGAAACCCTCTTGGTGATATTTCCTTTTCTTTCTTCATGGGGAATAATGATTCCAGCAATGTGAAATAAAATGAATTGTCTCCTCCTGCATGGAAGAGGAGCTGGGAAAGGATACTGCAGTTGCAAGCACTACATCACTTCAGTGATAGGGCGCAGGATGTGCGAGAGGAACCGAATAGCCCGCACAGTTCGCAATCCCCGATTCTTACATTTCTCCTTTTTCTTGCTCTTACTTATATTGCTTTTACTGGTAAAAGGAAGTAATGATACAGGCCCATAAAATGAGAGAAGAATACAAGTTGTCCCAGTCACAAGGGAAGGAAAAGAACAAGCGTGAAAGAGGGAATGATTGATTAAATTCTTACCCAGTGATCCCCTGGGGACCCTTGTGCCAAACTCACAGCTGCTTCCTTCTCTCAGAGCTGGTGGCCACGTCCAACTGAGGCTGTCGAGTGTGTTTGAGGTACATCGTCCTCGCTTTGTCATTTACTTCTTTGCCTCCTGACTGTGCAGTTCTGCCCTGATAAATATGTTTTGTTGAAAAGGGTGTTTCTTTCTGCCTCATCCTGCTTGTGAATGTAGCTGCAGATCCACCAGTTTTATGACAAAAATCAGTCTTACTTCTTTTTCTTCCCTTCACCACCACAAGGCCAACATAGCGAAGAAACTGCAGAAGCTGGAGACAATATCAGATTGTTTTAGCTGTCAGGTCTGATGGGGTGTCTCCAGTCAAGACACCAGTGAGAGACAGAGACCATTAACTCTCTCAGGCTGTTAGGACTGGTTTTCTGTGTAGGTAGTGGGAAAAATGACTCCTGTAACTAAGGCAACATGGCTTCTTCTGCTCGCTTTGCTCAGATTGCCAAAGCTCTGCGTTTCCGCAGCCATCAAGAGTCACTAGCTTGAATTTAGATACTGACAGCGGGTTGCCAAGTAAGAAAGTGCTCTTGGCATCTTCTGTGGCATCACTTAGGTTTAGGACTAAACTCCAACTAGAAAGCCTGTCAATCCCGAGGAAAAGGCTGCATGGGTGAGATATGATTCAAAGCCTCTGGGAGTTTCTGAACTATGAGAGTCTGATCCAGCTCCCGCTGAAATCAGTGGGAGACTTTCCATTGATTTAAATGGGACTATAATGAGGCCTCATACCAGAACCAGAGCCTGCAGGCCTGTTATTACTGGCAGTGATGGAGAAGGAGAACCCAACTTGCCCTCAGAGGCAAAGATGTGGTTGCAAGGCCATGAGTTAGAAAAACACAATTTTGCTTGTAAATCTACCAGATTTGACATAGACAGCTCCGAAGAACAGCATGGATGAATATCAAAACACTTTCATTCCAGCCCAGCAGAGGATTTCTGCCAAACAACATGAAGACTGTTGGTTTTGTGGTCAGCTGATGGGTCAGTTCTCTGATCCTGTCTTGCTTTGAGCAGGGGGCTGGACCAGATGACCTCCAGACTCCCCTTCCAGCCTAAATTATTCTGTAATTTCCAGTGTTGGTGAATAAACTTTTTGTCTTTTGAGGTCAACAGTACAGGTTCTTCTGATTTCAAAGAGACCTTATGGTATATATTTAGTATTTCAAACTAGCTGTAGGATTATTTGTCAAGGAGAAAAAAAGGCAATAGTGTCTTAAAGAAGTTTGGCTTGAAAGTGAAGTAACATATGTTTGAATTTAGCATGTTGGACAATTTGGATAGCCTGTGGTTTTCAAAGTTTCTTGGGTGTCTCCCTGCAATCTGAATTCTGTGCTCAGGTATTTTTCAAGGCTTTGGAAATCCCACTTGGTAGCTATCTAGATGGGGATGTTGATAGCTAGGATCCTACCCCAGGATTCCGTTCGGGTCTATAAATCAAGAAATCAGGCTGAGAAACCGGAGTGGCTATTCAGGGATGTACATGCCGCCAACAGCAGAGCGGGGAAGGGGGAGGTGCATGTGAAAGATGCTGTCTGAAGCATCTTGTCTCCTGTGGTAGCTGAATTTGCTATCCTTGGAAAGCCAAGGGCAGCTCCAGTGAGAGTGGTGGATGTAGAGCCCATTTGGCACAGGGATTTGGACACACACTTTAATGCCATGTGAACTTTCAGTTCTCTGTGGCCTGGGCACCACCAGCTCACCTACATTTTTCCCATCCTTCAGCCTTCCTCCCAGCCACACAAGAAACTCAAGACAACACCTCCAAAACACTCCATTCATGCCACCTGCCATGGCGGACCACTGCTGAGTAGCTTCAGTATCACCAGAAAGGGATACTAATGAGTGTCTAAAGGCCACGCACACACAGCTACACCTGGTAGAGGCAAGTGGAAAACGTGCCATTGCTCTGCGCAACCCAGTCATGCCTGTTGGGCTGCTGACATGGAGGTATTACTGACACATCCCATGTTGAGTCCTCCGATCTGGGCAGCAAAGCCCACTCCATTGCAGAGTGAGGGTGTTAGGAAACTCTCTCGGGCTGGCTCTTGTGCATCCATTAAAGCTTGGATAAGAAAGTTAAAAAATCCCCCAAAGACTCCCTGCCTGACCCCTAAACCAGAGAAAATGAGTTGTTTGTCCTTCCAGGAGCAATGAAAAGCAAATTAGTTACCCAACATCATGTGCTGGCTTGATTTCTCCCTTGTTACTTGGTCTGGCAGGGTTGCCAGACAGCCTGTACAAAAGCCAGCCCAAGTGTGACAGCTGTTTTGAATCCACTTTGCCTGCATTTAATTAACTCTTAGTGTCTCTTTCCTGCTGTAACGTCCAGATCCCAAGCCTCCGAGTGCACCTGTGCCCCCTTCCTCAGCCAGCAGCCTGCCCTGGCCCGTGATCATTGGCATCCCCGCCGGAGCCGTCTTCATCTTCGGCACGATCCTCTTGTGGCTTTGCCAGACCAAGAAGAAACCCTGCTCCCCGCCAGCTGCCGCCCCCGTGCACCGGCCACAGCCCCGGGACAGAATCTGCGTCTCCCAGGTCCCCGACAAAGACTGCATCTCCTCCATAAACTATGAGGAATATGTTGCCCAGCAGCAGCATTTACTGTCGCAAGGGCCTGCACTCGCCCCGGCCATGGCATCCAAAATGTACCCAAAGATTTACACGGACATCCACACCCACACCCACTCGCACGTGGAAGGCAAAGTCCATCAGCACCAGCACATTCAGTACCAGTGCTAAGAGGGCAGTCGTGTACAGTGGCTCGTTTGGGCTTTTCCTCGTGGTACCTCAGAAGAGACTGCTCCAAGCCAGCTCACGCTGCCAGCAATAGGCAAAGCAGACAGAAGGATGTAGGTAAGGAATAATGAAGGAACTCCAAATCTCAACAGAGAGGCAGCCATCTCCAACAGCGGAGCCTTCCTGGGTTTTTTAATCAAGGTGGCAACAAGCAAGACAGGACACAGGGACATGAACCACCACCTCCTCCTTGTGTTGCTAAGAGGAGCAAGACAACCAAGAGACAACCGCGCTGCTCTTCTGGATGGGCACCGCTGCTCCTGTGCCTGCTGCACATCACTTGTTTCAGTGGGAAACCCCCAGACCTGTCCCACTTGGAGTGACTTGAGCTCTGAAGTGTCTGAGGTTTAGTGCCAAAGCAACGGGAGACATAACCAATTCACCTCTTCCAGGGGAAAAAAAATAACACAAGAGGATCGGGAAAAACTAATTTCTGTTCACAATGTGAAAAGCCAAATGCTCCTCAGTCGTGGCCATTTGGTCTGAAATGCCGATCAAGCTGGTCGGTTCGATTTCTGCAACCCATAGGCATCGTGTTTCCTATGGGGGGGTTCTGCAGACCAAGCCTCAAGTGCTCCACTCCCCCGGTCCTAGGACTCAGTGCCACTGCCAGGAAAAAGCAAGGAAGGAAAGAGGAATATTGTACAGAACACATTTTTATTTATATTTAAGAAATAATAATAATAATAATAAATTAACTGCTGATTTTGAAGAAAGCAAAACGCTGTCCTTCTCTGATGGCTCACAGTGACAAGCTACTGGATTTTCTACATCAATGCAAAATACATGAAAACGTTAAAAAATAAAAAACAAAGAGAATGAAATAATAATCTTGTAGGAAAAAATGCATTTGAGAAATATTCACCTAAGTTGTGTGTGGTTGTCCCCTCCCTTCAGATAACATTTTGGAAATGATACAACTTTTTTGCAGTTTGAACTACAATAAAACCAGAAAGAAGAGAAAATAAATAAGGACCATATTAAATACCTATATGGACTGGAAATGAATCCAATTGCAAATATAAAACCTTTGTAATTCTATATAGAGTTTAAACAGAAGTCATGTATATTTAATTTATTTTGTTAAACAAGAAAAAAAATGTATGATATTTTCCTCAAAACAGGCATTTCTATATGTATTTTTGATCAAAGAAAATAAAGATTTTTTTTGTTTTTTCAGGTTCTATAGATGCCATGCTCAGAGTACACTCAATGTAGCATGTAACCAACTACTTCTCCTAACCTGGAGGTCATCTATCTCTATGCCTTTTCACACTAGCTACGTGTAATCTGCTAACATCTTCTCTGGTACTGCTGGTGCCGTCCTTTCCATCAGAAACTGTCCTTTTCCACTGGCTGTGAGGGTCTGCAGGGGCCAGGTCACTCCTCATGGACCCCTTGTCATCTTCAGTAGCAAAGAGCTCTGCTCGCAGGGAAATCTGTTTCACTGTGCGTTATTTTGGGGGGAGGAGAAGGAATTTGCATTTGTTTCTTGAGCACAAACCTGCAGTGGGTTTTCTTTTTACAAGAAAATATTGTAAATCAAAACATAATAATTTGTGAGCTGTAAAATGGGCTTTAGCCTCAGGGTACTTGGGAGTGGAAAATGGCAACGTAGGTGAAACACTTCATTTGTAAAGGCAGCTGCTGCAGGAGCCAGCGGAGGGTGAGCTGGGTGCCATAAGCAGAGCACGCGGGGAGCTGCTCCGCGCCAGGAGGGCTCACACCTTCCTTCTGCTGCGTGCCGTGGAGAGGCACTCAACCCTTCAGCCGCCAAAATTTTCTTTAGATTAGGCAGGTTCAGCAATGCTCCAACTGTTTGCTGTTCACTTGAGGTTCACTTCAAGTTTGCTGGGAAAAAGCCCTGAAAATTTGAACCATGCCAATTTTTAAGTTTGAAATTACTTCCTTCTCAAGGCTGTTCTGCAAAAGAGAGCTTCGGCAAACCCGCGGCTCCGTTTGAAAGTGAAACACTTCATTCAACCTGAAACAAAACAGTTCTTCAGGCTTCGCTTTTCTCTGAACGTTTCTGAAGGTATTTGCTCTGAGTTGACCTGCAGTGATTTTTCTGCTGGCCTGTTTGAATCACCAGCAAACCAAACAGTTGCCTGTTTGCTCAGCCGTGACACTGAGGTGGGGCCCCGATTCAGCAAAAAGCACATAAGCTCCTGCTCTCCTTCACTGGTACAAGCTGCTCCAAAAAGTCCCTTTTTTGCCGTAGCTGCCTGGGTCAGTGGCTCCAACCCTGCCCACTGCGCTGGTGCAGGGATCCAGTAACTCTGGGGAAGGGGAGGAGGAGGAGGAGAAGGAGGTAGAAGAGGGACACCTTCCTACTCACATGGAGTTTACCAGCTCTGTTGCAATACGGCACTGCATAGCACACTGCTGCTTTCTTGCATGCCGTAGCAGGAAATCCATGTTATAACCTCTGCAGAAAGACCATCCCTCACCATGGTCTTCCTGTAGCAGTTAAAGTAGCTCATTGCTAATATTTTTTTTGCCAGCGGGGGGTTTCAGTTACACTTTGTTAACACAAATTTATGAAGTCTATAAAAGCTAAATTAAGATCATGGGTATCTTTGTATGCATCGTCTCATCTTCAGGGAGACTTAATGTGAGCACTGAGTGCTCTGTTCGAATATAAGGGGTGATTTAGGCAGGAGTTCTTAATGGCTGGACTTTATTGAGTCATTTTCATCAAAAAAAAACTAATAAGCCTTTATACAGTAAGTGCATCACCTTGGTTTTAAGAAGGCAGTAGGTGGATGCACACAGTACGTGCCGAGGTACTGCACATTTCAGCAGCTCTGGGGGCATGGCAGAGGGCAGGATGCGCTTGGGAGCCCGCGGCCCCGCTCTGCTCTCTGTGCCGGTGCTGCAGCGAGAGGACGCTCCTAACACGTGCTGTGACAGCGGTACCGAAACCACCTTCGAAGGTGGAGGCTAACACTGGTTTTGTATGCTTCAGCTCTAAGCAAGCCCTAAGAGACTCTCCTCTGGCACTTTTTCAAACGGCAGCTATATCGCTGGCCCTCAGAGACAGGGTGAGTGGGTTGAAACAAGCAATCCTGCAATTCGCCTACAGCACAGTCTTCCGTGCTGAGCGTAACGCTCTCCACCAGTGCCTTCTACCCTTTGTGATCCAGCTCCGTAGTCTCATGCAGTCAAAAACTTTACATACTGCCAGGTATGTGGAAGGAGTGGCTTCTTCCTGCCCTTTAAAGCTCCTGCCTTTGGAGGCTGATCTCTAGTGATGCCGGCAAAGACATCTCCACAGGCAAAAACTACAGCAAACCACCCAGCACAGACGATGCAACAGCCAAGCGCAGCTGCAGCTCTCAGCCACGGCGCTGAGAAGATGGCTCTGGTTTTGGATGCGCCAGGTGAGATGCTGTAAAGGTCTCAATTTGCAGAAAGCTTAGGATGCACATCCTGCCTTGGGTATCGGCTCCCTCTTGAGCATCTCATGTTGAGCACCCAAATTGGTGTGAAATTTCCCCCTAGGAAAATATCATCTTATGCCCTACTTAAGTGAGGTGGCACATATTGTCTGGGTCTTGCGCTGGCTTGCTGTGCCTGGGTGGGTTTTGCATTTTTGAGGAATTGTTTTGCCTCCGCAGGGTACCTGTAAGTGTTCTTAAGAGTCACTCTGCCCTACTGCATGCCATTTATTTGTGTGGCTTGATTTGTGCCTTGCATGTATTGCAAAGGCTTCTGTAGTCTGGCTTCTGTAGTCTACATAATTTCAACCAGCTCCTGCTCGTGTTTGGATTTGTTTTTCTTCAGTGGGATAAGATTTGGACTCACCTTCACTCATGAGCAGAAGGTGGTTAAAGAAGAAAACCATAGTCTTGCAATTAGCTACTGACCCTATTTTGAACACAGAAGCTTTTTATGTTAAGTGTAAGTATATATATACATATAGGCATGTAGATACACTTGCCAGGCTGTGGCACAGAAGGCAGTTGTACTTTTAAAGCCGTGGGCCTTCAAAGATGAGAGGAATTTTAGGCTTACAGCTCACCATCATTGTTTATTCTGTTTGCATTACAGATCAAACATGGCCTTACATGTCAGTTTGCGTGTGGCGTTTTTAAACTTTGTATGGACAATCTTCATACACTCAGCCCCTTTGAAACTGAAAACTTTTATCAGACATTTAAAATAAAAAGGGTCATGTGATTTTCAATCGGTGGCAAATACGGTGACTGAACACATCAAAATGAGACAGCACGGCAGAGTGCGTGTGTGTCCGTGGTTTGTAATAGAAGTTACAGAAGAAAAGAAAGGAATAAAAGCCTGGAATTGTGTTAACAGGTGATACAGTTCTTTAAGCTTACAATGCCTTGAAGGGAAGGATGACTGTGTGTGTGAGAGTGTGCACGTGTGTGTGTCTGCACACAGCAGGCACATGTGCTGGCAAGGCAATGCAGAAAATATCGCAAAATTACCTGTGCACCGCAGCTCGGGCTCATATTTTGTGTAGGTGCTGTGAATCTAGCAGAGACATTATTTTTCAAATGCTTTGAAGAAGATTTCTGGTTTTTAGTGGATGGGGACTATTTTTTCTCTCTTTGCCTCCAAAGCCACATGCCATAGTTGCATCAAGAGCCAAACTGCAATTAGCAAGATGAAATTTCAGGGTCCCCGGTGTCAATGGCCAAACTCCAGTGCTCAGAGTGGAGCAGGGACTTCAGAGTCAAGCCCACCACCTCCACCCCTTCGAGGCAAACATGTGAGTGTCTTACTGCTCGCTCCAGAGACGGCAAACATCCAAGATGTGACCCTAAGCTCAGAAACGCTGGTCCTCACCCAAATTTCAGCTTGACCTGACCTGGGCCTTGGACCCAAAGAGCCCTCTGCAGACATTGCAGACTTGGGGTTGGAAAGAGGAAATATTTCTTTGTCAGCTCCATTTCTGTGGCTGTCTGAAACTCTTTAGA